GTCAAATCTTACGTTCCCTGAATTCTTGGAGTTCGATCTGAAACCAGCTCGAACCTTCTGTAGTTCAGTCATTCTCGTTTTACTCTTCTCTTTCAAATATGGTAGTTTTCTTGTCTTCCCCTTCCAGTAGTGATAGCCTAGGTAGCGCAGGTCCGACTATAAGTAGTTCGCCCCCCAAACCGAGTGATTCTGGTGAGGTCCTAGCTCTTAGGTTAGAGTCCGAGCTGGAAGAAATAGAAAACTTTAGGTTTTCGGATGATGGAGAGGATAGTGACACCTCCACCTCGGGCCAGAGTTTGGAGTACCCTTCGAAAATGCCCGAGCACTATCTCGGACCCCTCCGTAGGGGGTTTAAAATTCCGAATGATATTCTTCTTAGAATTCCAGAGGAAGGGGAAAGAGCTAACAATCCTCCAAAGAGATGGGTCACTCTTTATTTAAAGATGTTTGAGTACGGCATCAGACTTCCCCTTCATCCTTTTGCTCAAGAGTTCTTAAATCGAACTGGAGTGGCTCCTGTTCAAGTGGCCCCCAATGGGTGGGGTGTCATTTTTGCCTTGGCCATTCTTTTTTGGTTGCGAGCTCGGGACGAGGATGAGGCCGAGCTACTAAGTGTTGACCAACTTCTTGGGTGCTTTGAGGCCAAGAGGATAGCTAAAAAACCAGGTCGGTACTCTATGTGCACGAGGAAAGGCGCGGGTGGTATAGTCAAGGGGCCGACCTCCATCAAAGGATCGGTAGGGAAGTGGTTCTTTGCCTCAGGTGAGTGGCTGGCAAAGGACGAATCAGATCGTCCCTTCTATGACGTGCCTATTAGGTTTGGGAACCTAGGTATGAGGCCGTTATGTTTACATCTTTAAATCTTTCTGTTCTTCCTTCTTCATGTCTAACTTGAATCTTTTATATCCCGTGCAGTGTCGATCAAACCGATTCCCGAGCTCACACAAGCCTCTTTCGACACCCTCAAGTTTTACAAAGATCATTTCCCAAGGGGTCGGAAGATCGGAACTTTGGTGACCGACAAGCTGCTTCTGGAATCTGGGCTGTTAGACTACAACCCCTTGGTGCGCCCGGTTGAAGCTTCAAGGCCAAATTCCGGACTAGGTAGGTCGAGCTCGACCTTGTCTCAATTTTGTACTTTGGCATTTCTGACTTCTTGTCTTGCTTTCTTGGCAGCGATGGTGTGTGGATTCACAAGCAGCGTGAAGCGCAAATCCAAGGGCCGTGATCACGCTCTCAAGGTTGTTCAGAGCACAAAGCCAAAAACGCCTGCGGTGGCTCAGCCTGTGGTTCAAGACAAGGCTAAGCCATCTTCAGGAGTTCCAACTCCGGTGATCGAGTTGGACTCTACTAAGGAGCANTTTATTTAAAGATGTTTGAGTACGGCCTCAGACTTCCCCTTCATCCTTTTGCCCAGGAGTTCTTAAACCGAACTGGACTGGCTCCTGCTCAAGTGACCCCCAATGGGTGGGGTGTCATTTTTGCCTTGGCCATTTTTTTTGGTTGCGAGCTCGGGACGAGGATGAGGTCGATCTACTAAGCGTTGACCAACTTCTTGGGTGCTTTGAGGCTAAGAGGATAGCTAAAAAACCAGGATGGTATTATATGTGCGCGAGGAAAGGCGCGGGTGGTATAGTCAAGGGGCCGACCTCCATCAAAGGATGGGTAGGGAAGTGGTTCTTTGCCTCAGGTGAATGACTGGCAAAGGACGAATCAGGTCGTCCCTTCTATGACGTGCCTGTTAGGTTTGGGAACCTAGGTATGAGGCCGTTATGTTTACATCTTTAAATCTTTCCGTTCTTTTTTTTTTATGTCTAACTTGAATATTTTCTGTCTTGTGCAGTGTCGATCAAACCAATTCCCGAGCTCACACAAATCTCTTTCGACACCCTCAAGTTTTACAAAGACCATTTCCCAAGGGGTCGGAAGATCGGAACTTTGGTGACCGACAAGCTGCTTCTGGAATCTGGGTTGTTAGACTACAACCCCTTGGTGCGCCCGGTTAAATCTTCAAGACCAAATTCCAAACTTGGTAGGTTGAGCTCGACCTCATCTCAATTTTGTATTTTGGCATTTCTAACTTCTTGTCTCGCTTGTTTTGCAGCAATGGTGTGTGGATTCACGAGCAGTGTGAAGCGCAAATCCAAGGGTCGTGCTCACGCCCTCAAGGTGTTCAAAGCACGGAGCCAACGACGCCCGCTGTGGCTCAACCCGTGGTTCAAGACAAGGCTGGGCCATCTTCAGAAGTTCCAACTTCGGTGGTCGAGTTGGACTCTACTGGGGAGCACTCCAGGGGGAAGCGCTCAAGGGATGAGTCCGAGGCGATGGACATGTCACCTCTTCGTGAAGTGAGGGAAGAGTCTCCCTTGAAGAGGAGGAAGAAGAAGAAGAAGACCACCTCCTCCTTAGAGGCTGGACCTCGTGGCCCCCTGCCCTTAAGCCATGCCGACTTGGTGGACGACCTTGAAGCTCGGATGGGGGGGGACATCCGACGTGAAGATGCGGTTCAGAATGGAACTGTCAAGCTCCGGGGTGAAGGACTAGGTGTCACGCATTTCGGCTGCATGCTTGGATCGTTGTCTCAGAAGAGCATCAAGTTTGTGAGCGATCCAGGGTCCGTGCTGCAACGGACAATTGACCACGCTATCGAGGTAAGATCTACTCCTAAACTTTGCTTTATTTTCCTAACTTGTGACTTGGTCTGACCTGTGTTTGCCTTTTGTGCTCTACAGGCGTTCACTGCCTCCATCCATTCAGCAATCATGATCAAGGCCGAGCTGGATGGAAGGGAGGCCTTGGCAGCGAAAGAGAGGGAGAATTCTTCTGCTGCCTTGGAGGCTGCCACTACGCTCAAAGGCGAGCTGCTGAAGGCTCGGAGCGAGGTGGACATTTTGAGGGCCGAGGTTGAAGCCAAGGCCGAGCTGCTGAAGAGGGAGGATGAGAGGCATAAAGCCCACCTCTGAGCTGCCCACGCCATCACTAAAGGGCTGGAGAAGGAAAAGTTCCAACTGCTTAAGGAGAAGGACGACATGCTCTAGGCCTTCGAAGGGAAGGACGCTACAATTGGGCGTCTTACTGGTGAGCTCAAGGCGGAGATGGAACGCCTCGCCAACGGAGCTCTTCTTGAAGCAGCCTTCAGGCATCACCCAGATTTTGATGGGTTTGCCAAGGACTTCAGCGATGCAGGCTTTAAGTTTCTGATGAAAGACATTGCTGCTGACATGCCCCACCTCCAGGTCGACCTCGGCGATCTGAAGAAGAGGTATGCTGAGAAATGGGCTTCTGGGCCCAACGGCACTCCAGGTCCTGCATCCCTGGTGGACAAGTACATTAGAGATCTGGACTCCGACTACTCCGACCTGGACGAAGACGATGCCCCTAGTCAGGAGCCTAACGAGGTCGGCACTACCCAAGAGAAAGCTCCTTCACGGCAGGACGGATCTCAAGAGGTCAACCTTCTGGGTTCTCAGGGCGAGCTATCTTCTCACCTTGGGAGCAGCTCAGATTCCTTGTAGATTTTTTTGTTGTTTTTTTTATTATTTCTTTTGTAAGTCTTTCGGCAGAGCTGCAAGGTATACAAGCCTTGGCTCTGTCCTTTAATCAATGAAATCTTAATTTCTCCACTTCTGTACATCGAGCTCTGACTGTTCTTTCATTGCTTTTTCCTTTGGCTTGTGAACTTGCTTTTGTAAATTTGAATTCCTATATGAATAATTTCATCTCGCACCTATAACTCATAAGCTTAAAGGATTGAGTTTGGGAGGAACTCTTTCCACATCGCCCCTTTTACTTACGTTTAATGTTTGAATTTGAGAGTTTCCTTCACTGGTTTTTAATATTTCTCCTCGAACTCGGAAGCCCAAAAGATAATGTTAAGTAATTTGAACTTCCAACATCGCACCTTTAACTTTAAACGTTCAAAGGGTTGAATTTTGAGTCCATAATTAATATTCACGTCGCACCTCAAACCCATGGGTTTAGACGATTGAATTTCTTGAACCTTCAACATCGCACCTTTAACTTAAGCATTCAAAGGATTGAGTTTTGGTTCGTGATTGATTTTGACATCGCACCTCGAACCCGTGGGTTTTGAGGATTGAATTTGATCAATTTTTGCCTTTTAAGTCTTATGGAAGTCCGTGGCCCCCATTTAATTTCTAATCGAACTCGGAGTCATGAAATTAAATAACTCCATTTATTAAAAGTTCCACCCCTTGAAAATTTTTACAAGTCCATTTTAGGACCATTTTGACATTTCAAGGGTAATAGCGCTTCAAGTGCTCCGCATTCCATGGATGCGCAAGCACTCTTCCTTCCAGATCGGCCAGCATATACGTTCCAGGTCGGACTATGCCTTTAACCTCGAACGGTCCCTCCCAACTCGGGTCAAGGGTGCCCACATGACTCTGAATCTTCCTTAAGGCTAAATGTCCAATTTGGAAGCTTCGAGGTCGAACTCGGGCATTGTAATGTTTGGTCATTCTGTTCTGATACTCTGCTAAGCGCAGCTGAGCCATTTCCCTTTTTTCTTCCAATAAGTTAAGGTTAAGGAGTAACTCTTCCTCGTTCCTTGTTGGCTCGTACTGCTTTACCCTGTCTGTTGGTATGGCGATCTCTACTGGAACAACAGCTTCGGAGCCAAAGGCTAGCGAGAACAGAGTTTCGCCAGTTGACTCTCTCGAGGTGGTTCGATATGACCATAACACTTCGGGTAGCTCCTCGGCCCATCTTTCCTTTCTGGAGTCCAACCTCAGCTTAAGTCCTTGTTTTATAATTTTGTTTATTGCTTCGACTTGCCCGTTGGCGCTCGGATGAGCAGGGGACGAACTGAGATGACTTATTCCCAGGTTACTGCAAAAGTCCTTGAACTTTGCATTGTCGAAGTGCCTTCTGTTATCAGTCACGATAGCATTTGGTATACCAAAACGACATACAATGTTTGCCCATATGAAAGATGTGACTCTGGACTCCGTGATGTGGGATAGTGCCTCGGCCTCGGCCTACTTGGTGAAGTAGTCCACAGCGACAACGACGAACTTGGTTTGCCCTTTGCCCAGGGGAAAAGGACCTATGATATCTACTCCCCACTGCGCGAATGGCCACGGGTCCGAGATGGGGGTAAGCAGTTCGGGAGGTTGATGGATAATATTTGCGAAGCGCTGGCAGTTGTCGCAGGTTTTCACAAATTGCTTTGCATCCTGCTCGACAGTGGGCCAATAGTACCCTTGTCGAACCACCTTGACCGACAACGACCTGGCGCAAGAGTGGTTTCCACACACTCCCTCGTGGATTTCCCTAAGGATGTAAAGACCTTCTACGGGAGTTACACAGTTAAGCAGAGGCAGGGAGAAGCCACGTCGGTACAACGCTCCATCCCGGAGTATGAACCGAGCTGCTTTCCGCGCCATCTTCTTTTGCTCATTTGAATCTTGAGGCGAAATTCCTTTGATGAACATGACGATTGGATCCATCCATGAAGGCGATGGAGTGTCAATCTCCATCACTTCCGGATCCAGGATTGAAGGATTGTCCAAGATCTCCACTGGGACTGACCTGGCCAGGTCGGTCTCATATGCTGATGCCAATTTCGCCAAGGCATCAGCATTGGAATTTTCTGACCTTGGAACTTGACTCACCTCGTAAGTCTCGAATTGGGTGAGGTGCGATCTGACTTTGCTTAGGTATTTTTCCATTCGGAAGTATTTCGTTTGGTACTCCCCCTTAATCTGATTTACAACCAACTGGGAGTCACTAAAGACTTTGATTTGGATGGCCCCCAGTCCTTTGGCAAGGCGTAGGCCTACCAGAAGTGCTTCGTACTCAGCCTCATTATTTGAAGTCTGAAAGTTGAACCGTAGAGCATACTCAAATCGCTCGCCGCCTGGTGCGAGTAAGAGGATTCCTGCCCCGCACCCTTTCTCATTGGAGGATCCATCAACGTAGATTGTCCATAGAGGGTCAGACTTGGCCAACTGAGGTGGTGGGGTGAGCTCCGCGATAAAATCGGCCACTGCTTGCCCTTTCAATGCAGTTCTTGGCTCGAACTGGATTTCGTACTCGCTTAGCTCCATTGCCCACTTCATCAGGCGCACTGATGTTTCTGACTTATGGAAAATGTTCTTTAGGGGCAAGTTGGTAAGTACTACGACGGCGTGCACTTGGAAGTACGGCCTAAGTCTCCGGGCCGAGGTGACTAAGGCGAGGGCCAGCTTTTCCATTTGGGGATATCTGGTCTCGGCCTCAGTCATGGCCTTACTGGTGTAATAAACGGGACTTTGGCGCACTCCCTCCTGCTTGATCAGGACAGAGCTGACAGCGCTGTCAGACACTGCGAGGTATAAGTGGAGCTTCTGTCCTAGCAATGGCTTTGCGAGTAGAGGTGCCGAGCAGAGATAGTTTTTCAACTGCTCCTGTGCTTGCTGGCACTCTACCGTCTATTCGAACGGTCCCTTTTTTCTCAGAACTTTGAAGAAAGGAAGGCACTTATCTGTTGACCTCGACACAAACCTATTCAGGGCTGCAATCCTACCATCGAGGCACTGAAGCTGCTTCAGAGTCTTGGGTGCCTCCATCTCGAGCACGCCCTTTATCTTCTCTGGGTTAGCTTTAATCCCACGGTTGTTTACCATAAAACCAAGGAACTTCCCTGAGGAGACTCCAAAGGCACACTTGGTCGGATTGAGCTTCATTTGGTACTTGCGCAGTACTCCAAAGGCTTCGGTCAGATCGGAAAGATGCGACTTTGACTGCTTGCTCTTGACAAGCATGTCGTCCACATATACTTCCATATTCCGACCGATCTGCTTGGCGAACATTTTGTTCACCATCTTTTGGTAGGTCGCACCCGCATTCTTTAGGCCAAAAGGCATCACCTTGTAGTAGTACAGACCTTGATCTGTTATGAACACGGTATGATCTTGGTCTGGCAAGTGCATTTTAATTTGGTTGTATCCGGAGTAGGCATCCATGAAGGTGAGTAGCTCGTGCCCGGTCGTTGCATCCACGAGCTGGTCAATCCTCGGCAGGGGGAAGCAATCTTTTGGGCATGCCTTGTTTAAATTCGTGAAGTCCACGCACATTCTCCACTTCCCGTT